GATTCAAATTTTCATAATTATACAGAAACAAAATATTCCTAATTTAGGGTCCCGGAGCTAGTTGGGGAGCTGAGGCGGCGGGGATTGAAGGAAGGACATTGTTTACGATCCCACTGTCTCTAAAGTCCCACAAATCTGCAAGATACATTAACATCAGTAAGTTACAATTTGTTTTTGTGACAAGAGTTCTCCCCAGAGTATGTGTGGAAGGGTAATTCAAGATTGTGTTCTCGTGAAAAATTAGCCACAATTATTATTGTTATTCTTATTATAGTTAATAATAAAATAAAACTCTTTCCTTATTCTTAAATCCACAGACGTGAGTAAAAGAATTCCGAAATACGAAGATCTAGCTATTCTGTTTCCACCTCCCTTAACTCTTCCCTGGCCATTAGTCGACATTACGGCTGCCCCCTCAAGGGCAATCCATTCTACGGATCCATTACCAATTTGCTGATCTAGTTCGTATTTAATGTTAGTATTTACACTATTTTTAACACTGACTTAAAAATCGCAATCTCTTTATAAGACATAACTCACCTCATGGTGAGCGAAAATTCACGACGCTTTAACCCACAGGACCACCCAACCCTACAAAGATCCCGCACCCAGCAGAGCTAGGTATTGTACCGTGATCCGAGGACATACGATGGTGTGGGTGCCTCAGAGCTAACTTCATTCTACTCCCCGTTTAGTTTACTAACCTTCACAAGCAGTATATATATTATTGTAACCACGAACGAGTGGTATTTAGTCAATAACAACACTGCGACTAGCCGGGGGATCGAACCCGTGTCGTTTTAGCCCACCTCACGGTGAGCGAAGATTCACGACGCTACACTACTACCATCACTTATCAGTAGTAAGTGTTAAGTTTGTCTGCAATGAGACCATCACACTATCAATAACAACACAGTACTTCCACTATCATCACTACACTATTACCACATCATTAACATTTGTATACAAAACTCGCAAACCTGAATGAACATCAAGGGAGGTTCCTTGATGCTTATCAGGGGCTCTTGGTTGGTCTCTCTTGATTAAAGGAAACGAACCTGTGCTCGAATCTCTGTGCCTTCCAATCCCCCCCACACGCTATATGGGCCCTTACGGGTTTAGTGCTATGTAAATACCATACCATGTATATACATATAGTTATTACTTATTATTTGCATTGTGCGTGATGCGCTAAACCCGTGTGGGTCATTGCAGAGCATGAAGTGGCGACTCGAACTTCCGTCCGCTAATCCTGAGACGCTATACTCTTGTAGTTAGTCAGATATGCCAAAAATAATTTTCTTACACTCTCTCCTACACGTGACTGTGTATTTAGTAGGCATACGAGCACACATTTACCCCTTTATCCCTTGTAAAGGGTGCACTGTGTTCTGCTTGCCGGATTAACGGTAGGTGTATCAAGCCGCCTTGCCTTCCCTCCCTCCCTACCTCTTTCAAAACGCTTCATTAAGGAACAATGTTATTAAAACGGTTATAACTATACCATAATTTTTAAAGGGGTGTACAGGTAAGCCAACGAAAGGCTTCGGACAGGTGACCAAAAGCTCCAACGGCGGGTCATCAGCTAAGGCTCGTGTCAGGAAACACTTGTCCTGTTTCCTGACGAATCTTACCTAACCTAATCTAAAGAACACTACCTCCGAGCTTACTTGTAGGTGTAACAAGAGTGAGGCAACACCGAGAGCAGGTTAAGCTATTTCGACCTGGTACTAATGAATAAGCTAAATAACTTAGCTCAGCTAGAGTTATGGATGAGGGTGTGAGTGGGGAAGTCCTCTCGGACAGGATCCTGAAATCCCCCCCCGTTTTCATTCTTTAACTGAATCAGGTGTAGCAGACCTTCCCTCCCACTCGCCGGGGTCCTGAAGGAGGCAATGGGTCATTTTTATTGCAAGGGTATTAAATGCTTGAGTGCACTTCAGAGACGTTTATGTTGGTCTGGTGTTACCTTACGTGACAGTGGGTGATGAACCTAACGAGTGCCAGAGCTGACTGAAGGTTGAGGAAAAGCTGATTAGCCTTACCGGTATATAACTAATATATACATACATATATATATATATATATATATATAAATATATATATATATATATATATATATATATATATATATATATATATATATATATAATATATATATATAAATATATATATATATAAATATATATATATATAATATATATATATATATATATATATATATATATATATATATATATATAATATATATATATATAATATATATATATATATATATATATATATATATATATATATATATATATATATATATATATATATAAACCGTTAATAAACGTTATTTTGCTCTCCAACAGTCCAATTTCCTTTACGTACAAGAATTCCACTTTCCTCCAGGTATCTCTCATACTTCGTTCACGTATCTCGCTCATACCTTCTCCTCCTATCTCTCTCACCTCCCTCGTCATGTCTCTCACTTTTCACACTCCACACGCCGTGTTTAACTTGCCTTCGTCTATTATTCTAACCTACGTTAATGGCTTCCTGTTTCCACACTCCCGTTGCTCCACTGCTTACTGTTTGTTCCCCCGTTTGTTCTCTTACAACCCTTCTTAAACCACTGACTATTCCTTCTCCACTTCCTGCTTCTCTCACAAACCCTCTTATACCCTTGTTAGTTCTCCCACAGTCCTCCTAACAATTTATTCTCTCCCATGTCTCTCATCATCCCCATAGACTGTTTCTTTAGTCTCTCACTCCAACTCCCATTGTCTATTATTCCTCCACACAATGTGTCTCACTCCATCACCCACCTTTCTTTTCACTGTAAATACCCTTCAGCTATCTTATTCTCTAAATATTTTCTTCAATTTCTTGTTTTCCCCTCACTGAACCGCTGTGATATAAATTTGGTCAATAAATTTGACACAGAGTGAAAATTAATTTTAACTCCGTTGCTCCTGACGTGTTGGACAGGTAAATTGCATTGGACGTCATTTTCGGTCATTAGAAATTTTAATAACATCCTTCTCCCACTCACTCTCAGAATGATGCGCCTACAATTGAAATTTTTTTCGAATTTAATAGCTTTCTACTGGCGAGATCTGCCATCAGTGATTTTCTTTTCTGACCATCTTCGCCATTTCTAAATATCATTTTAGCAATTTGGACACACGCAGTAATATAACTTGGGGTTTCAGATTATTATTATTATTATTACATATACTTCTACTACCACTAATAATAATAATAATGATAATAATTGCTTGGTAGGAAGGATAATTAACAAATAGTTGCAAACTTGGGCTAGTAAATCTGAGTTCATTTTTTCCCACTGTCATAATTTTTTGTGCACATTAATGAAATAAAGATTTTGTGTCTAGTTCTGCGCTGACGACCACAAAATATAAGCTACGATGAAATGGTTTTATACAAATGCTGGTTTATTATACACGGATTATTATATACGGAATTATTATATACGGAACTAATAGGATGTAGAGGTGTGATGCCTACAGGTATGGGTATAGATATACATTATGTTGAACAAGCTTTTACTCATCTTTTTTCGCTGTGTAGAGCTTTAGCATGACCTGTTAAAGCTCTACACATTGCGAAATGTTGTCCCAATAAGAGCTGATTCTGTGAGTTTTTTCTTCAGTTTGCACTTAAATCCTTTTATTTTTTATATTTTAATCGAATTTAGTTTAATTTCGTATAAACTGCTTGGCTTTCTTTAGTAACTGTTAAAATGTATTTAGTTATCCCTCTTTGGGAAGACAATATGAATCTTGAAAATCACAAGGCAAGATTTTTTAATATTTTTGAGAATGTAGAAAAAGGTTTAATACCAGAAGAGATATATTTGTTGTAATTTAAAAATTAATGTAATTAAGATTATTCGTTTTTGAAAGCCACTAATTCTATGAAGATCAAAGAACTGATGTAATTTTGACACTTATTAACTTAAACTCATCTTAACTAGGAGGGAAGTGTATAACGTTTTGGTTCACACTGATTATAATAATTATAATCATGGAGGAGCGCTAAATCCGTAATATTATACTGCTCATGTGGGGGGGAGGTAATGGAAATTATTCAGGCTCAATTCAGGGAACTGGAGCACAGATCCAATTCCCTAGATCAAGAGCCCCTCACCAGCATCAAGGAACCTCCTTTGAGGGGAGTTCGCCCTGAACCATTGTTAAGAATGACCCGAAACGTCTTCGATTTTTTTTTTGCTTCCAATTTCTGGGTTTCCCAGGTTAGTCGTAAACTGTTTATGTGATCTACATTACCTTCAGTGATTTCTTTTGACACACTGCATAATTAAAATCTTAATTCAAGAAATTACATGTTATTAAAAGAGGTCAAGTTCAGATTAGGTAAGGTATGGTTAAGGGAAGTTACGTTAGGTAAGCTAAGGTTAGTTATGTTAGGTAAAGTAAGTAATTATGTTGGTAGAATTACCGACAATATGTAAAGTAAAAGGACATATGTGCAACTAATGTGACATTTTTATTGTGGCAACGTTTCGCTCTCCAGAAGCTTTGTCGAGCCGTTACAAACAGTACATGGACACAGAGGGTATGTATAGGCTCAGAGTGAGGTGCCATACTAGTGGTAGTACCAGTATTGCACCTCACTCTGAGCCTCTATATACCCTTTGTGTCCATGTACTGTTTGTAACGGCTTGACAAAGCTCCTGAAGAGCGAAACGTTGCCTCAATAAAAATGTCACATTAGTTGCACTTGTGTCCTTTTACCTTACAGGTAAAGTAAGGTTAAGGGAAATTAGGTTAGGTAAGGTTAAGGGAAGTTTAGGTTAGGTTAAGTTCGGTAAAGTAAGGTTAAGTTAAATAAGTTAGGTTAGGGAGGAGGGGAATCAATAGGGCCAACAAGTGTACCATTAACATAAATATTTTAACAAAACTGGTCACGGACCGTGCCGAGGGGGCGTTGACCCCCGAAACCCTCTCCAGGTATACTCTATGACTTACCTAGAGTGAGTAGCGAGGGTGGGTGTAGACAGAGAACCTCAGAGGGCCTGGCAGAAGTGACAGTGGTGCTGATAGCTTGATGGGCAAGCGAGCTGGGCAGCCATCATGTCCACACTCACAGCTGCCGAGGCAAGAACACCTTCAATAAGTTGATGTATCTTGAGAAACTTAACGTAAAATAATTAAATATTCTGAAAAGAAGGTATATGGAGTAATGTGTGGGAGTGGGAGTTCAATGCGAAAGTCGTGTGCGAGTGAGGAGACGCAGGTAAGAATATAGAACCCAAAAGTCTGTTATACGTTTTTGAAGAAATTATGGCTCAAGGTTCTTCTAGTAGAGAGAATTTGGAGCCTCTCTTTAGAAATTCAAGTACATATAACGAGATTGCAGTAAAAAATATACACTACTCACAGAGAAATCTTATATATTTAGATATGACATTTCGTTTCTAAGTAGAGCTTCCTTGACTTTATAAAGATTTATTTACAACGAGAAGTCGTCTGTAAATAAAAGTTTGCTCTACACATATTGCCTTTTTAATATACCTGTCGGGAAATCATGCCATCGCAAAGGATTTGCAGCTCTAAATATGGACTTACACAGAATTTCAGGATACTCAAGCATATGCTCCAACACAACATTATTTATTACTGCAATGAGAAAGAAGTGAGGGATTCTGAGAAATTCTGAATAATGCTCACGGTAAAAGATTAAAAATATTTGAAGATTGTAACATGAGCTTTGTGATTGCGAAATGAAAAAGGGATGCATCTTGTAGCGTGGGTTATCGCACTGAAGGTTTTCTTGTATCTACATCAACTGGATTTGGTGGGAGTAAATAGAAATTTTTGCTTTAAACACGTATAACCCAAAAAGTAACTTAGTAGAAAATAAAATTTAACACGAAGGTCTAAATACCTACTACTCTTAGACGAAATAAATACCATTAGAGATAAAATATAAGGTTTTAATGAAGAGTTACACGATCTTTTTATTTCTCCAAAGTTGTTTATAACATAACTTGATAACTAGAGAATGCAAATTCTGAGCAGTAAAAGGATACATGTGCAACTAATGCGACGTTTTATTGTTACAACGTTTCGCTCTCCAGGAGCTTTGTCAAGCCGTTACAAACTATATATGAACACAGAGCGTATATATAGGTATTGCAGTGAGGTGCATGGCATAATGTAATCGTAGTAGCAATACTTTTATCTACAATGGTGTTGTTAATTCTACCAACAAATACATTCCGAGCAGTTGCAAACTTAAAGTGAAGGAGTATTTTGCAATATTTTGTCTCCGTGCAATAACTGCACAGTGTTTCAGCTGATTAGCTCTAAATGTTTAAGTATGTTGCGTCTTACTGTAAGATTTCAATTAGTTTGGGACTGTGTAGATGCCGACTTACAAGTTTATATATATATATATATATATATATATATATATATATATATATATATATAATGTATATATGTGAATGCCTCTTCCGATAGTCTTCAAATCTTTAACGGTTATATAAATGGCATTAAAAAAAATTACGCTGCATGCTGTTCTATTTCTACATGGTCTGAGGCGACAGTTTTATAAATTATAATCATGGGGGAGCGTAAAACCCGTAGGAACTGAGGTGACAGGCTTACAGTATATAGGGGATACCGTTCCTGAATCGTGCAGGGACCAGAACACAGCTTGTGTTAACGAATATATGACTAACAGAGAGAGAGAGAGAGAGAGAGAGAGATGGATAAGCCGTTTAAACAGCGCATAGTTTACTATACTGTTAGAAATATTTCAACATCTGTTTGACCAAGCGCTTCCTCAGTTCTTTCAGCATATGTTTAACTAAGTGCTGTCACGGCTGTTTCAGCGCAAGTTCGGAAGAATGCTGTCCCAGCTGTTTCAGTGTTTGTGTGAAAGAATGTCGTTTCAGTTGTTTCGGCTAATGTTTTGGGAGAACGTTGCGCCAGCTGTGACAAAGTTACTTGGCAAACTGTCTCATAAATTGTATTACATCACCAAAGAACTAACGAAGAAAGTCGAGATATGAAATATGAGACTCCAGGAGAGAGAGAGAAGAGGATATGGCAGTTCTTGACTCAAACTCCACAGTGTCTGACACAAACTCAGATGATTAATTGATCAATTAATCTTCTGAGTTTCTGTGTATAATACATACATATAATATATATATATATAATATATATATATATATATATATATATATATATATATATATATATATATATATATATGTGTGTGTGTGAGTGTATGTGTGTGTGTGTATGTGTGTGTGTGTGTGTGTGTGTGTGTGTGTGTGTGTGTGTGTGTGGTGTGTGTGTGTGTATGACCATAAAAGAAAGTCTAGCATATTTTAAAAATCAATTCACTGATGCCGGTAATTACCATGATCCTTGAAAGTCTTCTCCCCAAGTTGTTAATTGCTTGAGAACCTTCAGAGTAATTATGATAACTGGTTATTAACTTATGCAAATTATCAAACCTCTTTATAAATTAGGTGATATTTTATATTTGCTAAACTGAAAAATTTGTTAACTCCGATATTTAGAAAAAGGGATTTAAATTAGAGTGGGTAGGTTATAATGCATTAGGAGGTGTGTGTGTGTGTGTGTGTGTGTGTGTGTGTGTGTGTGTGTGTGTGTGTGTGTGTGTGTGTGTGTGTGTGTGTGTGTGTGTGTGTGTGTGTCTGTCTGTCTGTCTGTCTGTGTCTGTCTGTCTGTCTCTAGCGAATCCGAAGGTTCCAACGTTTACCGAAACTTGCAAAAGCCAAGTTTCACTTAGGAGATGCAGCAATTCGTCCGTAAATTAGAGCCAAACATTCAATATCTTTGCAAAAGCTTGCAGAAGCAGGGAAGCAACGAGTACACTAAGAGACAACACAGTAAATGTCAGGGGCCCAAGACTGTTCAACTGCCTCCCAGCATACATAAAAGGGATTACAAATAGACCCCTGGCTGTCTTGAAGAAGGCGCTGGACAGGCACCTAAAGTCAATACTTGACCAGCCGGGCTGTGGTTCGTACGTTGGTTTACGTGCGGCCAACAGTAACATCCTGTTTGATCAGGCTCTGATCCGCCACGAATCCTGGTCATAGACCGCTCCGCGAGGGCGTCGACCCCCCGAAACCCTCTCCAGGTATACCCCAGGTATGCTGGCTTGGCTTTGTCACAGCCAGAACAACGGACTCATCAACTGTTTGAAAACGCCCCACTTGTTCAAATAAAATAATATGCTTCTAAAAAAGTCAAAAGGATTGGAGAAGCCACATGTCAATGTTCGTCAATCGTTTCTGAACACCTTCCCTTTGATGGCCAAGAGTAATAATGGTCCCTGAGGCCACGGTCTGCGTTATGCATAATATGGTACTACTTCTAACAGTCCCTGTTCTACCAAGGGAATGAAAAGCAGCGCTCAAAGCCACCTGGCATCATGAAAATCACTAAGGTCACAGGAGATCGCTTCCCGAGCCTCAAAGATTCACCGGTTCGCAGCCTCCAGCTTTCATTATTGAGTGTAGCTAGCTAATTGGGTTTCATATAATTTAGTTTACTAATTTACTAAACTGAATAAAAAAAGGGTTTCATCTTGCCAAGGCCTACTGTTTCCTTTTCAAAGATCTTCTCTGCCTCCCACCGTATATACATACATACATACAGTCAAGTTTTACTTCTTTATATCTCTGGTATGTTTCTGGATTAGCCTCCAGCCATATTTGTTCCAGGTCCTTTCATTATTTTTCATAGGTTTAGTGTACTTTCTGTTAAGCCATATTTTTTTAGGTATTTCATTATTTTTTTATAATCTCCTGCATTTGGGACAGTTTATTAAGACAGCACGTCGCATGTACAACACCAGGTAAGCAGAATTTATTTCATAAAATGGTGATTTAAGTATACTCTCAGGGTATATGCAGATCTCGGTGAATATACACAGTAAGAGATAGACTCCTTTAGGTGTATGTACACTGAAATTCACATCTCTTGATGTATATTCAATGAGAGGTACCCCTTGGAGAGATACGCAACTCTTAGAAACAAGGAGTCACACTTGGAAGTTGAGGACTCAAATGAGTCAAAGGAATTTTAGGAAGTATTTCTTCAGTCATAGAGTTAGTGAAATAGTCTAGCAACTGACGTAGTGGAGGCAGGAACCATACATAGCATTAAGACGAGGTATGATAAAGCTAATGGAGCAGGGAGAGAGGACTTAGTAGCGTTCAGCTAAGAGGCGGGGCCAGGAGCTGAGCCTTGACTTCTGCAACCTCAATTAAGTGAATACAATTTGGCGAGTACAACTGGAAGCTGAAAACTTTGATAAGTCACAGGAATGTTAGGAAGTATTTCTTCAGTCATGGAGATGTCAAGTGGATTATTATTATAATTAAAACGAAGTTGCAGAGTGGAACAATATGGAGAATGATGTAGTGAAGGCAGGATCCATATATGGCTTTAAGAAGAGATACGATAAAGCTCATGGAGCAGGGAGAGTGAACCAAGCAACCAGCGAAGAGGCGGGGCCAGGAGCTGTGAATCGACCCCTGCAATCCCAAATAGGCATATACCCCGTCTACAATCTAAGAAGATATTGCACCATATTAAAGACTCAGAATTCAATATTTTTTTCCAGTTTTCATGACATACTTTAATTTATGAACCAAGTTAATTTACGTAACAAAGATTCATGTTAACCTAGACCTTCCAGGAAAAATGATTTTCTATCTTGCTCTTGCAGTCTGCTGTCTTCCAACTTTCAAAGAAGTTCATGTTCTAGAAACATGAATATCCTATTTCTTGAATCACGTCTAATTACTTCCCATTCCAGAGGCGCTGTATGACATCTTTCTCCCTCCCTCCAGAAACAATAGTTAACTTTGTACATTCTTCCAGTATGTAAGTAGCCAACTTTCTACCTCCTTCCAATAAACGTAGCCACCTTTCAACCCCCGTCTAATAAAAGTAGGCTTTTTTCTACGTCCGTCTAACAATAATAGGCACTCTTTCCACTTCCGTCTAATAAAAGTAGCCACCTTTCTTCCATCCGCTGTAGTAGCTAATAATAGATGCGAACAGTACCGGACTAGAGCCTGCATTCAGACATGA